CAGTGCCCAGTCAACCCGGGTACGCGCCAGTTCCCGCGTCCCTCGTGCTCGACCGTGCCCAGCAGCACGCCAGCACACCCAGTGACTCTCGGTCGTGCCCAGCCGCACCTAGTGGCACCAGTCGTGCCAGGGCCTGTGCCAGCCGCACAGCCCGCGCCCAGCAGCGCCTAGTACCGTGCCCGGTCGCACCCAGCTAGTGCCCAGCGCCGTGCCATGGCCCCAGCAGGCCCGGCACGGGATCGAGCCCGGCCAGTCCGAGCAGCCCGTGACCAACCGGTCCAGTGTGACCCGGTGGTCCAACCGGGTCCGGTCCAGCCCGACCCGGTTCAGCCAGTTAGCGAACCGGCCGGTTTAGCCGGCGGTTCGAGTCCGTTTTGGTTCGTGATTTTCGGTCCGAGTCTTATTCCGAAATTTAAGTATTTTTCCGAGCCAAACCAGATCAGTTAAGCATATCAGTATTATTTCCGGACTTAGAATTATTTCTGTGAACCCTTAGAGCGTTCCTTTATATCCGGATGAGTAATCTGATAGAGTAGAGCATCCTAGCATATTTTTGAGCATATGACGAGCATAGTACTTAGTATATTTGTTTGCTTATATTTTTATGTAGCTTGAGGAGTCAGCTACCAGCACAGCCGCACTTACTCATTTTCAAAACCGATCAGGTGGGGACCCAGTCTGGGTTATACATTGAGTTTAATAGTCGATATCACGTTCAGGTATGTATATGAGTTTTATCCACTTTGGGTTAAGGCCAAGTTTGCCTTCCCTAAGTTCTGGTGGTGGCCCAGTTTGCCCTAGTTATACCATCAGAGTGTGCACACGGTTACCGGCCAGAGTGTTCCGGGAGTTACCGGCCAGAGAGTTCCGGGAGTTACAGTTTACTTATATATACCAGTCTGTGATATCATTATTAATATTGTTGTTTACTTTAGAATGGGTTTTTATGGAGTACAAGTGGACCGTACTCACCCCCACTTTATATTTTCAGATGGCAGGGTCGGCGGGCAGGCGTGAGATGAGCTGTGGTGGTGGTGGTCGTGAGTTCCGCACGAAAGCTGTTCCCGGGACATTTGTTTAAACTATTTTGTAAACTATTATAACCACGAATTTTAGACTTCCGCTATGCTTGCTTTTAATTTCGAACATGCATGACTTTATTATCAGACTTAAATAATTTTACCCGGTTCGCCAGTACGAACTGGTCCAGACTAACAGGCGTGATTCGTAAAAATATAAACCTGATTTCCTTAAGTCTAAACCAGACGTTAGACCTAGGTTAAAGAAATGGGTGTTTGAGCAGAAAAGTCCTTAGCAGCATCCCGAGATAGTTTGCAAATGATTTCGAAAAATTTATAAGCGTTTTCGAAAGAGTTAAAATTTGCGAAAAATTGGCCCTAGTTAGCGGGGTGCTGCATCATGCGCCTACATCATTCACCGGATGTTATCGCTGGTCCAGCCGTCGAGAGGCAAGAAGAAGAAGTCGGAGAGGCCGATTTTGCTTTCAATTTTAACGGGGAGGAGATTCCGCAGACTCGGTCTCGGCGGCCGTTCTAGGGTTCCGAGACGACGCCGATGAAGACGATGTAGACGATGAAGGTCAATTCCGAGGCCGCCGGAGAACAGTGAACTCGGTGAGCAGCGGCGCGGACCTCCTCTGGACAGGAACTCCGGTGAGGGATCGGTTGGAGAAGGGGCAGCAATTTCCGGCAACAGAATGGCGGGCATGGATGTCTGCTCCTAGCGGTTGCGGAGGTGCAACGTTCCCTGAGATCACGGCGGCGAGGGCGGCACTTGCAGACGGCGGGGCGGCGAGAGGAGTTGTGACTGACGGGAAGGTGTGTGTTTGTGTTTGTGTGTGTGAGAAAGAAAAGACATGTGGGGGTGGGGTGGGTCGGATGGGTTGGACGGGATGGGTGGGGCTTATTATTGGATGTAATTGTAAAATATCTAATCTACCCTTAATAGGTATAAATGCTTGGCTTTTTTTACCTGTTGGATCAATCCGATCTACTGGCTACGATGTATTCTTATTTCTTTCATTGAACACCATTTTCACCGGAGCGTGACCCTATATATATATATATATATATATATATATATATATATGGTCACGCTCCGGTGAAAATGGTTGCTAGAGAGAGAGAGAGAGAAAGTTGCTAGATTTTTCAACTAACCCTCAATAAATGAGGGTGGTTGCCTATTTATACTATTACAAACCGGATACTGTTCATTTCCTGTTCATCCTGTCACTTCGTACAGTAACTAGGAATGACAGGTATCAGGTACCGTTCTGACGGGCATTAAATGAGATTTGAGGTTAAATTATAATGATGGCCTGCCAAACATTAAATGCACACGTGGAATGTATTTAATGCTGACAAGCCGTCCTACAGTCTTATGTTTAGTAGGGCCGCAGACTAGGGTGGCGCATCCTATCAGCAATCACCACTCGATAAGTAACAATATTTTATTGCTTCCAGGTCCGGAGTGTGCGCCAGGGTCTGGCCTTATCGAATCTTCAGGCCGGACTTTCTCCGTAACTTGACCTGTCTCATCTCCTAATCTTCGGGGGTTTTTTTTCTGTGTTATGCATTTAGGTAGGTCAACCTCATCCTCCAAGTGCCAAGGTGCCGACCTAAAAATATGATCTGTGCATCGCTCCCAATAACTATGTTCTTTGTTGAGCCTAGACTTTCTGTCGCCCAGATGTCGACCTGACTTCGAACTGTTAGGATGGAAGGTATTCGTCTTTTCTTCTGAGGTTGTCCTTCGATAGTAAAGTCCTAGTTGGCTGGTTAGTTTGTCCTCCGCGGCGCGCGTGGTTCAGGACCGCGCTGACGATTCTGCTCATTGATGACGCAAGCTAAAGGGACGGGATTAAATGAGGCGTGCCTCGGACGCTTGGCTTTCCTGCCTCAAAAGTTGTGTCACCTTTTTTACCATCCACGTGTCATCTCCCCGCCTCAAACGTTGTGACACTACTTTACCTTGGTACAACAACTAAGTGCTATTCGGAGGGGCCGAGTACTTGTTGTACTGAGTCTGATCGTGACTTGATTGGGGGAAAAGGTGAACTCACGAGAAAGGTTCATATGATTTTGGACCGAAGGACCTGATGACGAGGAAGTAAAAGACAGACTTTTTAGACGGACTTTTTACTTGGTCCAGTGGAAAGGTGAGCCGAGGGCTAAGGCAACTTGGGTTCGGAATGTTGAGTTGGTCCCATTCGCGAAGCAGATAGCAAGGTTCGAGGCATGCTTGCAAACTTTCCCCACGTCGACGAACTTGAGTGGGGGAGGTCTGTTACGAGGGTAATTTTGAGGCCCAGGACTTGGCACGATCCCTTAGAGTGCCAAGGTTCGAAAGACCCGAGCAGTGGCGTGCAGGGTGTCGACTAAGGGAAGGATGCAAGCTGGGAGCGTCCTTGTGGCTGGATCTTGGGTTCAGTCGGGTCTTCGTGGGAACGGTTGGAACTTGAATGGTGCAGTTTGGCTGCACGTGAACTAGTTGGTTATTACTAGTACCACGTGGCCTAGGCGGGATTCCTTCGAGTATTGCATGGCCGAATGGGAACAAAGGAAAACGAGGCACGTGGCTAGACGGTTTCTAGGGACACGTGGCAGAGACAGTTTTTTAACCTGCATGGGAGTTGGATAAAGATATGCACGGCGGTTGGCGCCCGTTCGTTGCATGGGCTGAGTTGGCATCATATGGATGTGGACACGTGCCAGGCAGCAGTTGAGCAAATCTACCAGTCGGTTACCGAGCGGTTACCAAACAGTTGAAGGCTGCGAGACCCGAGGTCTATATATAGACCGAGGCGGGCATTTATGCGAGAGAACGAGCGTGATCAGGAGAGTTACCACGAAACACACTTTAAAAACTCGGAAAGAGCATCTGTGCGAAGAGTGCTAAACACGAGGGTGCAAGGCAAGGCAAAACATATGAGCGAGCTAGTGTGCGAGCGAAATCTGTGTATTGTATGCTAGTGAGTGCGTGAGTTGGCATACACCAAAAGTATTATAGCGAGCGTGTAAGTCCAATCTCTGCAAGGGCGATATTAGTATACGTGTATGTGTGCCTGCGTGCACAAGAGTGTGTCTGTTGAACCGTGTATGCAAGCTGTAGGGTCTTCCATTGTACATTGTGTTATAAAAGTACTTTGGTTGGGCGTGAGCCCGTAATATTGCGTGTTACTGATTTACTTGATTGCTTCCGCATGCGTGTGTGAGTGACGTGCTTGCATAACCTCGATTGATACTTGGGCGAGCAAACGATCGAGGGACGATGAAAGGCTGACTGGTTTGTGGGGAATCAGGCTGCATAGGGTGCTAAGTGGGCGAAAAATTCTAGCCTAAAACTAGACCCTGTGACACTTAGCCTAGTACTTAGGCAAATTTGGAACACGTAGGCAAACTTAGTTCGGTTAGGAAAATAATTTGACACCTTAGTTTAGCTTGGCTTAGGCTTGAAGGAAACATATGGCCGAGTCCTTACTTAGCCAAAATTACACTTAAGAGGACGAGGACATTCACTTAATTTTTATTTGATTAGGTAAATTATTAAGTAAATTAAATAAACGAGAAAATCTATTTAATTTTTATTAAAAGGATTTTGAATTAAAACCAAGATTAGAACACTTACGAGTTGTCAATTATATGCAAAACGTGCCATGCTTTTATTAAAATAAATGGGACATTACATGTAAATAGGTTTTTATGTAAATAATTTTTTATGTATATTTACAATTCTATCCTTAGGTTAGACTAGGTATAAATAGATAGAAATTATGGTTTACCATCACTATTCATTTTTGTATCTGGTATCAATTGTTCATCTCTCTTCAATAAAATTTTCCTCTCGTTCTTTCTGTTCATTCTGATATTCCCTTTGCTTTCTGTTCAATTTAAATAATTCAATACTTAGATATGATAAATATGGACAATATTTCTCTTGAGTTACTAGTTTAGG